CCTTAACCACCTTCGGACTTTATGGACTTTACTTGTGTGGTTAATATACTAGCCATCATAGTATACTTCGGTTTTCTTCTAAGTGCACCAAATATTTGTCTTGTTATCTCTACTGAATAATGATGTAGTTGTCGCACAAAATACATGAACACTGTATTCCAACAATATTCGTGCTCCTACTTTGGAGACTCAAAATTTATAGAGTTAGGACTGCAATCCACTAGGGTGCCATGATGTGGCCTCTGCAGTTTATGTATATATTTGCAAATGTGTGCAAAGCCCTTCTTTTACCATGAATGGTTAGGCAGGGTAATTTGGTAAGTTGCAGGCTGGCTGTTATGTGAGCTGGGAATTTTTGTTTGTTATTTTTTTTTGTTTCAATATTTTTATTAAGAAAGTTTTGTTTTAAGAATACAACAAGCTCAAGATACGCCCACACAGGGGCAGAGCAGAACAATAACACATAAACAGATACATCCTGCTGACTTGTATTAGCCAAATAACGAAATGTCCAATGACATCAAGGAGGGACGGCAAAAAGCCGAACCAAATATTAGCAGCAGTAATCCAACATATTACCGGAAAAAGAAGAGGAAAGAAAAAAGGTTAGAAGAAAGGAAAAAAAAAAAAAAAGAAAAAAAAAAGGAGAAATCAGAAAGAAAACATGGAGGAAAGGGAAACTAGAAGAATCACGGATCCAGGGCTAGCACAGACAGCGACTATAAGAGGCCATAACTAGTAGGAGGCAAGGATGGCAAGGAATAACGTATCCAAGGTTCCCAAACCTTAAGGAATCTCAGATGAGAATCATGAAGAATGGTAGATATCTGTGCATTGATCAACATAGCATTCATCCGGGTCTTCACCCCCTGGAAGACAACGGAAGGGGTTGTCCAAGCTTGAGCTATAGCACAATTGGCCAAAATAAATAGGTAGGATGCCAATTCTGCTGAGACCTAGATAGGCTCAAAATTGGGCAATGCAGGAGGACCATCCTTGCATCCCTACGGACCGTAATATGAAATAGCGCTTGTAGCAAACCAAAAACCCTAGACCAGAAGCCTATCAATCGTGGGCACGACCACCAGATGTGCAAGACGTCCCCGCGTAGACCACAGTTCCGGAAACACCTATCTTTGAAAATCGGACTAAAGTGAGCAGTCTGAGCCGGGACCCATTACCACCATAGGAGAACTTTGTAGGCTGCCTCAAGAGTGACTGTATTGAATGAACATTTCACCACCACCCCCCAGGCCCTACGCCAATCCTCCGCCGCAATCGAGATACCCAGATCTTGTTCCCATTGAGCGACATAAGACAGGGGTGGTGAGGAGGACCTACTGTTAAGGGAGGCATAAATTACAGAAATGAGACCAGGGGACCCTGGGGAATGATCGGTACAGCGGGGGGTGCAATTACTGGAACCGATCCCCTGTGTTGCTCTCTCTGTAGCAGCTGAAAGCCGGCTTTTTCTCCTCTCTTCCTCCCGCTGCTACAGAGAGAAACATACATGGGATCGGTTCCAGTAATTTCCCCCAGCCGCATCCATCACCCTTCCTGAGCACCATACAATTCCCCCTGCTGCACAGGTTCACCTGTGTGCCCCCACCCCCCCCACAGTGCTGCCAGCTTCCCTCCTCTCCTTACCACTGGCAGCTGCAAGCATACAATAGGATCCTTCAAGATGGGGAGTGAGGGAGAGTCTGGAAAATACATCACATTTACCAGACCCTTCCTTTCCTGAATGAACACAATGAGCGATCGGTACCAATCACTCAGTGTTCATTAACAAACTGAATCATAGTAAACTGTGTTTCTTTGTTTTTTTTGGGGGGGAGGCCCTGTCAGGTTGGTGGTATTGGGCCCCCGTGGTTTCTAACAGCAGCCCTGGCCTCATTCACTTGAATGGGTGCACTTGGCAGGTAGTAGTTGAATGCGACAGGGGATGCCACAGTATGTATACATTCCTGGCCACTACCTCTGCAGCTAACGGGGGAGTGGCTGGGTGGGGGGGGGAATAAAATCATGACTCAACCGCAAAGTTTTACCACCCACCAACTACTAGTGTGAAGGAGAACTTAAAGTAAGACTGTGCTTTGAACTTATTTGGAAAAATAACCGGCTCGATGTACTGTATCCCTGTAAAATGATTCTCTTTACCTTCCGAACTGCTGTGTAAGTTATAATGTAGTCAAATCCTACGTAGGCCGTCCAAGCTCATGTAGTACCCATATGGCAGTACTAGAGCTTGGTGATTGGCTACTTAGGCAACCAGCACTGCATTGTGGGGAGTCATATGTTCTTCCATAACTAGAAGTATCAGGTATCTCCGTGGTCCAGCAGTGAGATTGGTCCTGTGATGGATTGAATGGAAGCATGCTTCTTGCTGATTGGAGAACTCTGGCTCTGACCCAGCAGGGGGCCTGTTAGACCTCTGCAAAGAGACCATTGCTTCCCCACAAAAAGCAAGGTCCACTCTGCAGCTACTGACAAGGGACAGGCTTTTCTATTCAGGCTGCAGATGCTTTAGAAGAAAAATGAACTGGAAGACATTGAACACCTTTTTATTTTTAAGCACCTGGAAAAGGTATACAGCTGATGTAAACTGAAGGTCCGATTGGGATTTAAGCATAGTAGAAGGAGCCATGTATATTTCTCCCTTTGTTCACCAATAGTGCATCCATGCTACTCTTTATAGCACAGATACAGCCTTTTACCACGAGTGGTAGCCACTAGTGGGCTGGTATTGGTGACTTCAGAGATTACATTATTTGCAGTATGAGACCTTTTCCAATATTGCTGTGCAAAACTGTCCATCCTTATGTAATTTCCAAAAAAAAGTCCACCGAAATCATTAACTTGAACCCGAGTTCATACTCAAATGAACAGTTCATCCAATATAACTTGCTAGAAGTTGTTTCCTAAAGCACTCTTTCCAAAACACAATGCCTTCTTCCAGTGCTTCTACATTAAACACCAACTGTGCTTGTGTCCACCTTCCCTTCACCCTAATACTCACCGTTTCTGATGCACCCTCATACATTATGTGCTAAGAAGGTCAATTTGCACTGTTTTATACTCTCCACTGGCTCTCTCCTCCACTGTTTCTCCCCCCCCTGCAGCTCCACCATAAATAGAAGGGACTCTTAACCTCCCGGGTGGTATGACTATTTCAGATTTTTGGTGCTGAAAGCGGTACCATTACTTTGCATGGAAATATGTAGTTTTTTTATTGTAGGCCTGTAATTTTTAGGAATAACTCACTGAAATCTGTCCGAACAAGAGTCTATTAAACATCCCGGGTATGATAAAACTTGAAACACGAAATCATAAATTATAATTTGATAAATAATCATAAAAAATAATAATATAATAATAATAAATTTAATTCAATAATATAATCAAACCAAAAACACTGAAATTTTAAATATAGCGCCAAGTTCGCACATCGCTGAGCAAAGTCGCAAAATCGTTTTCAGTGTCTGATGACGAATTTCCCCACGAATCATTATCACTCAATTCTGCAAGTTGTTTTGATTTACTATCGCTGTTCTCTAGCTGATCTAAAACCGATTTTGACCTAAAGGGACGCTTTTTGCACACCCTGGACTTTTCTAAGTTTCCAGGCAGAAAGAACAGTCAAAATGCAGGCAGGGCACAGGACAAAGCAGTAGGGACAAAATATATGTGAAATGCTTTGAAACAGCAATGTTTTACTATGTAATAATCATTTTAAAAAAATTAGATTTTTTAAAAATGTCAAATTTGCCGCCGGTTCCCGGCGCCCGTACGTCCCGACGTCACAGGGATCGTAACATGGAAGCCGGATGCTGGCATCGGCCAGAGGAGATGGCCGGGGACGCTGCAGGGGGGACATCGCGGGAGCGAAGGACAAGGTAAGCGCTGCAGTGAATCCCTGAGCAACGCCACATGGTAAGCCCGAGTGTAGCTCGGGGTTACCTCTTTTGGTACTGAAACTCTACCCCCCGAGTTACACTCGGGAATACCGCCAGGGAGGTTAATAGTGTTTATACCATTTATTTAAACATCTTTAGTCTATAAAACAATAAAATAACAAACACTGCCGGCAATGGTATACACTGAGTCCTATTGATTTGCCCACCAACAAGATGGCCATGCGTTCCACAGCACCGGAATTACATAGTCTGGCTGAAAAAAGACAAAGTCCTACCAGTTCACCATTGGAGAAAAAAAAAGGTATAATCCACAGTTTATCCAGAGGAAGGCAAAAAAAAAAGCAAAGCATGATCCAATTTGCTGCTGCAGGGAAAAAAATTCCTTCCTGATCCCTCGAGAGGCAATCGGATATTCCCTGGATCAACTTTACCTATAAATGTTAGTATCCAGTTATATTCTGTGTATTCAAGAAAGAATCCAGGCCTTTTTTAAAGCAATCCACTGAGCTGGCCAGAACCAACTCTTGAGGGAGTCTATTCCACATTTTCACAGCTCTCACTGTGAAGAAACCTTTCCGTATTTGGAGATTAAATTTCTTTTCCTCCAGACCTAAAGAGTGCCCCCTTGTCCTCTGTGATGACCTCAAGGTGAATAGCTCTACACCGAGTTCACTATATGAACCACTGATGTATTTATACATGTTGATCATATCCCCCCTTAATCTCCTCTTCTCAAGAGAGACCAAATTCAGTTCCTCTAATCTTTCCTCATAACTGAGCTCCTCCATGCCTCTTATCAGTTTGGTTGCCCTTCTTTACACCACCGAAAGTCACACTATTGGAAATGACGTAGGTACAAGGCTCCTCCCAACACGTTTTGTCATCAATGACTTCATCAGGGAATTCAGAGAGTAAATTATTTGCAATATGAGACCTTGCCATAGATGGGAAGATCTATAGACAAAGAAATATCTAGGTATGTAAGTTTATTGTGATAAACCATTAATGTCCTATTTCCTCTTGTGTTTTCTACAGGTGTGAGAAGTTGGCAATTCACAGCAGCTGAAGAGTCCGCAAGACAGGATGCTGATATTGAATTTCCTAATCCTCTGCCTCATCCACTTCTTCATCACATTGAAACCCAGCGCGTTTGCCAGAAATGTCAATTTCCATAACGTGAGACCGCCCGCAGATCGTAAGTAGCCTTTCCATTGGCTGTTGCCAGTTTTTAGTGATTATTCAGGTTTTAAGATAATTTAATTACAAATAAATGTTATAGTCAATGGCCAACCAGCTGTCTTTGGCTATTCCAGTTAGTTGCTCAGCAGTAAGAGCTATTCGGCAGCAGAGTTATCAGACAACTCTGGGATTTGTTACAAGAGTCGAGCTGTGCAGGTGTTGTCAGAGGCTCCTGGAGAGATATTTGCCTTTGTCTAAAAGTGGTGGGAATGACTGTCAAATTTACCAAGATCACTGTTAAAAATAGACAGAAATTGATATTTTCCATAAAATTTGCAATAAAAGCACCTTGGTCTTGTTTGAAGAAAATCTCTAAAGCTGCACTGTAGGCAGACATAAATGGTCATAATTTTTGTTCTTTTATATAATATTTTTTTAAATAAAAATAAAAAAATCAATAAAGACCAGCTCGGGCAGATAAAAAATATATCCCTTGCAGTGGGGACTTTGCCTGCACTGCAGGGGTTAATAGCTCATCCAGCTCACCTGATCCTCCACTCCCCTGGCTGGAGATGCTCCCCTATGATCTGACAGTGGACTGCCCCTCCGCATCCTCATGTCCAGAGCAGGGCTATGGACCCTGCTATGGTCTTAATGACGTCAGGACCCTAGGCCGCGGGATCATGGGGGTGCAGCACTTTAGCTACAGACAGAATCGGAGGATTGGGTAAGTATATTTCCTTTTATTGTTCCCCTAGAATAAATGAGCAATTAACCCTTACAATGTGGGCCAGTCCCACTGCAAGGGATCGTTTTTTATTTGCCCAAAGTTGGGCTTTAAATTTATTTTTAAACAACGCCAGTCTCAATAAGTAAATCTGTTTTACTATTAGCTTCTTTTGGACCCAGCACAGCATTATTTGGACTGGGAGACAGAAGGTCAATAGCCTGAGCCAGATAGGCTGCATCGCAGTACTGTCAGTCTGACAATTGGAGTTTGCTAACAGGAGGAAAGAGCAGAGATTTTATACTCGTAATGATGTTTCTTCAGTATTCAATCAGCAGGCGAGAGTGACATGAAAGTGAGGTAGCATTCTTACTATTAATACTAGCTATGTGAGTGATACCAGCAGGGCTTCTATGGGGCACTCATCATTCCAGCCAGGACCCCTACCTTTTTCACGGGGATCTAATCTTCACCCATCATTGCAGGTTGCGCCCACAGGGCCTTCAGGGACTTGATCCCCCAGCTTGGGTTGACTGCCCTAGACCTGTATAGCACCCTACTGGATACACCTCGACAGTATATATCTGGGGTTCCGTAAACGTTGGGTCCAGTGCCATATGGCAATATTATAGGTTGTCCCTGTGTCGTGTCCAGGTTTTGTCTGGTGCGGGGTCTGGGTACCATTCTTCTAAGTGATTATAGCTGTAGGAAAGGATCTGGATAGAACCAGTCACCTGATCCTTGTTGAAACCTTTGAGAATCTGCTAGAGTCAAGCAGAGATCTGCACAACAGTTACCATCACCTTCAGACACTGGCCAAAAATTGATGCCCTTCCTATTGGTTATATCTATGAGGGGACTTCCTGTCTTTTTGCCAGTGTCCAATCACCTGTAGGTGGCGCATACCTCATTAGTGAGGAATAACAGCTGCTCTATGTTCCATGGTGTAGGATAAAGAAATCTATACTTGCATTGGTCCAAAGCTGTTCCAGTGTCACTAACCATACCTGGAGTTCAACTTTAAATAAATCAAAAATCCAGCAGGGAGTGTGGAAGACCTTCATAAAGGCCACTGGTGTGCAGACCTGGAAACTCACCAATAGCATCCCCAAGGGAAATAAACTGGTCTTGTAGTCCTCAAGCATCTGCCAAAAAACTAAATTTCATTGTTGTATGGAATGACCTTTAACAATTGGTAATGTTTTTTTCTGCTTTGAGAGTTAACCACTTGCTGACCGCCAACAGTATTTTTATTGCAGGCGGATGGCACTTGCAGGCACAATCACGTACATGTATGTTATTGTGTCTGCTCCGATTTAGGAGCACACTGCGTGCCCCCAAGCCCCCTCCTTTCCGCGATTGCAGCTCCCAGTACCAGGAGATTGTGTGATTGTTATGCTATGCTATACATGATAACAATGTCAGCAAAGCTGATATGAATGAATCTCATTCATAACAGCTCTGCTTCCTGCACTATTGAGCTGTGATTGGCTCACAACTATCACATGGTACCCTGTACCATGTGATTAGCTGTAGCCAATCACAGATCACTAGTAATCACAGCTCTTATGAATGAAACTCATGACAGTTCAAAGCATTGCTGTTACAATGATCATCATTTTAAAAACAAGTGTAAAAAAAGAAAAATCTCTAATCATCACCCCCCTCCAGAGTAGTACAGTGTTACTATAGTGACACTGAACTACTCTGATGTAAGTATATTTTAAAAAGTAAAAATAAAAGGTAAAACAAAAAATTTATAAAATTGAAAGAAAAATGATTTAAATGTTCTTTTTAGTTTTGTTTTTTTTAACATACTGTAACCAGTCAGTGTCCCTGATCACTACCACACCAGTAATATGATGACGCTGTACTACGCTGGTGAAATTGTGGAAATAAAACATTGAATTCATTGTCATAATTTTTCGAAAAATTGGACGAAAAATTACAACTTCAAAAAACTCGCCATTCCTCTTACTAAACACCTTGGACTGTCTACTTTCCAAAAAATGGGTCATTTGGGGAGAATTTGTACTGTCCTGGCATTTTAGGACCACACGAAATGAGATAGGTCATTAGTACACCAGGATTGTCGAATTTTCAAATAATATATATCCATAGTTTGTAGACTATAACGTTCACACAAATCAATCATTATACACTTATTAAGATTTTTTGTTATCCATGATATAGCAGAATACATTTTGGCCTAAACTTAAGAAGAAATTTGATCTCTTTTAATTTTTTTATTGGATAAGTTTTATAACAGAAGAAAATGTTTTTTTTTTTTAAATAATTTGAATAAAAAATAAAAAACCCAGTGGTGTCTGCTCCTTGGTGGTGATCAAATACAACCAAAAGAAATCTCTATTTGTGTGAATAAAATTATATAAATGTAATTTGCGTACATTGTTGCATGACCGCGCACTTGCCAATTAAAGTAGCGCATTGCCAAATAGCAAATAAAAATGGCCTGGTCAAGAAGGGGGTAGAACCTTCCAGAGTGTAAATGGTTAATGTGTTTGTATATACATCAGCATAATAATATACATGTATATTTCTGTTATAGCTTCCCCATTTCCAAACAGCTTCAAGTGTTTTACGTGTGAGAAATCCAGTGACAATTACAACTGCAACAGATGGGCGGAGGACAAGTGGTGTCCACCAAGTGAGTGCCATTTCCACACCTGTCCCTTGTGATGTTCTTCATTTTATAGGGCAAAATTTCTGAAGACGACATTTCCTCACTGTAGGATGAAAGAGACAGAACTGTTATTTGCTTTAACATTCTCTAGGACAAGGCTGGAGAAGGAAGAGATGAAATCTCAAACTGACTCTCAGGAGTTTCATGCTCTACGTTTCTCTTTGAAGCCAACTTTCAGATGAAAAGTTCTACTCTTGTCGATAGTTTCCTTTTGGTTATACAAGAGATGGCAGAGGGAAGATGGATAATCAAGACAAGCACCATAATGGCTCAGTGGTTAGAACTTCTGCCTTGTAGCACTGGAGTAATCAAATCCTGGCCAAGACACCAGCCCATTGCTCTTAATTGAAACAGTCAATTAGACAAGTTAGAAATTTTTGCCCCCCCCCCCCTTCCCCTCCTTCTCATAAGCTGGTGCCAACTATGTCTAGGTGCCCTTCTCCATTTTCATAGCAATAACGCGAGCAATTGTGACTGGCTGAGATGTGCAGATGTGCCTGAGAGTCATATATGTAGGGATAATTTATATTTGTGGTTGACCTCAGGGTTGGATCTAGCCTGTCCGATGCGGGGGTGCAGTAAAAAAAATGTCGGGGGAAAAGGATGGGAGGTCAGCAGGGCAGAGGACAGCGGTCACTGCTGTCAGGGCAGAGGACAGCAGTCACTGCTCTCAGGGCAGAGGACACGGGTCACTGCTGTCAGGGCAGGGGTCACTGCTGTCAGGGCAGAGGGCAGGGGTCACTGCTGGCAGGACAGGAGACGGGTCACTGCTGTCAAGGCAGAAGGTAGGGGTCACTGCTGTCAGGGCAGAGGGCAGGGGTCAGTGCTGTCAGGGCAGAGGACAGGGGTCACTGCTGGCAGGACAGGAGACAGGGGTCACTTCTGACAGGGCAGAGAACAGGGGTCACTGCTGGCAGGGCTGAGGACAGGGGTCACTGCTGGCAGGGCTGAGGAAAAGAGTCACTGCTTGCTGGGTAGAGGATAGGGGTCACTGCTGTCAGGGCAGAGGACAGGGGTCACTGCTGTCAGGGCAGAGGACAGGGGTCACTGCTGTCAGGGCAGAGGACAGGGGTCACTGCTGTCAGGGCAGAGGACAGGGGTCACTGCTGTCAGGGCAGAGGATGGGAGGTCAACAGGGCAGAGGACAGGGGTCACTGCTGTCAGGGCAGAGGACAGGGGTCACTGCTGCAGGACAGAGGACAGGGGTCACTGCTGGCAGGGCAGAGGGCAGGGGTCACTGCTGGCAGGACAGGAGACAGGGGTCACTTCTGACAGGGCAGAGGACAGGGGGTCCCTGCTGGCAGGGCTGAGGACAGGGGGTCCCTGCTGGCAGGGCAGAGGACAGGGGTCACTGCTGTCAGGGCAGAGGATGGGAGGTCAACAGGGCAGAGGACAGGGGTCACTGCTGTCAGGGCAGAAGACAGGGGTCACTGCTGTCAGGACAGAGGACAACAGGGGTCACTGCTGTCAGGGCAGAAGACAGGGGTCACTGCTGTCAGGACAGAGGACAGGGGTCGCTGCTGGCAGGGCAGAGGGCAGGGGTCACTGCTGGCAGGGCAGCGGACAGGGGTCACTGCTGGCAGGGCAGAAGACAGGGGCACAGCTCCTTCTCCCATCCCTGCACTGCACACAGCCCGGGCACAGGCAGCAGAGCTCCTCCTCCCCACACAATCCATAACTGAGATCAGTATAGTGTCAGGCTAGGGCAGTAAAGAATCAGATTAGGGTGGTATTGTGTCAATTCAGGGCAGCATAGTGGCAGGTTAGGGCAGTATAGTGGCAGTAAAGTGGCAGGTTGGTGTTGGCTTTGGTGGGGGGGGGGCACAACTAAAATCTGGGGGGGCATAGCTGACCCCAGCACCCCCCTAGATCTGGCCATGGTTGACCTTACCCCCACAACATTTGGGCATGATTTAAAAGAATAGACTTCAAACTTTACAGTTCTAAAATACAATTCAACATCCCAGTTAAAGAAGAACTATAGACACAACTTTTTTTTCATTTTGGATAGAGTAAGGGGGGGGGGAAGAGTTATGACCCCTGTCAGCTTTTTTGCCATCTGTGTCCCATTGGGGAGATTTCCCTTCACTTCCTGTCCCGTAACCAAACAGGAGTGAGAGGAATTCCTGGCGAATTAAGATCCCCCAGGTCACCAGAACTAGTGTCCCCATTGAAACATTTCCCCTATTCCTTTTCTGGGAACAACCCAACATTTGGGATTTTCTTTTACTTTCACTTTCAATAGTAAACAGTATGAGAAAGGAGTCAACAGTAAAAATAGAGAGGGTCAATCTCCTTAATGGGGGGCCACAGACAGCAATAAAAACTGACAGGGGGTCTAATCCCTCTCCACTCTATCCAAAACGTAAAAAAAAAAGGTTTGTCTTTAGTTATACTTTCACTGTAATAGTCACCTGATATTTCAGTTTTCTCCATTTTATAGCAGATTGAATGGCATGCTGACTGTGGGTGGTTCATGTTTAATCAGTCTTGGGAATGATGGATCCACCAACAATGGCAGTACTAAACCTGCAATGTGAAGAAACGTCTAGCAGATATTTGTGGTAGAGAAGCCCTTCTGCCTCTTCTTTCATCAAACGTTTCCCCGCTCCTAGCAGTATTTTACTTTTACATTGCACGTGGCAATGACATCATCTTAGCTGGCCAATCAAAGTGGCTGATGACTTCTCAGCCCAAAGAAAACAGGGAGCGGATAGTGGCGCACTGGAGTGATAAGGGAGGTAGCGGATATTGCAGCTCCGGAGAGGGACACTCTCTGCGCCATAATATGGGAATATGCAGTATATATTTGTACATTATGGCAAAAGGTCTAAAGAGGCCAAAACCCCTTTACTTCAAATTTCTGATGGTGCCAGACTTCCCTAAATGTAACTGTGAAGTATAGTTGTAAGAGTTAAAACGTTAAAGTGTTACTAAACCCACAATAGTAAAATAAAAAGTATGCTTGTTATACTCCCTGTGGAACCTAAGGGGTTAATCCTCCGCATCGTGTAAAAAGGCCTGACTTCTCTGATCCTCCCCTTCTTTTACTGTCCCCAATCCATGCGCTGATAGTGCAGAGCTCTAGGAGGCACTCTGCACATGCTCAGTTTGGTGTGTATGGCTAGAGAGGGTTTTTTTTTTTTGGGAGGGTGCATGTGATCAGCACAGGGCCAATCAGCACTGTCCAGATGGAAGGTCAGGAGTTATGCAGCCTCATATGACAGTCAGAGCAGAATGAAAACTCCTCCTACAAGCTTTAACCAGTGCTCAGCTGGACACTGATAGAAGTCTGAAGACTGCTCTATACTGCTGATGAGAAAAGGTATTTAGCAGTCTCAGCTAGCTTAGTGGGATGGTTTAAAAAAGTCCTGGATTCTTTCTTGGATACACAGAATATAAATGGATACTAACATTTAAAATAAAAAGTTGATCCAGGGAATATCCGATTGCTTCTCGGGAGATCAGGAAGGAATTTTTTCCCTGCAGGAGCAGATTGGATCATACTTTGCTGGTATTTTTGCCTTCCTCTGGATCAACTGTGGGTATAGGGTTATAACTTTTTTTTTTTTTTTAATGGTTGAACTGGATGGACTTTTGTCGTTTTTCAGCCAGACTAACTATGTAACTATATTTACTAAAATAATTGCATTTCCATGTTCCGTGTACTGTGGGAGACCAGATATAGTGAGTGCAGGATCCAGGGAGACCAGATATAGTGAGTGCAGGATCCTGGGAGACCAGATATAGTGAATGCAGGGTCTGGGGAGACCAGATATAGTGGGTACAGGGTCTGGGGAGGCCAGATATAGTAAATGCAGGGTCCGGGGAGACTAAATATAGTGAATGCAGGGTACAGGGAGACCAGATATAGTGAATGCAGGGTCCTGGGAGACCAGATATAGTGGGTACAGGATCTGGGGAGGCCAGATATAGTGAATGCAGGGTCAGGGGAGACCAGATATAGTGAATGCAGGGTCCTGGGAGACCAGATATAGTGAATGCAGGGTCCGGGGAGACCAGATATAGTGAATGCAGGGTCCAGGGAGACCAGATATAGTGAATGCAGGGTCCGGGAGACCAGATATAGTGAGTGCAGGGTCCGGGGAGACCAGATATAGTGAATGCAGGGTCCAGGGAGACCAGATATAGTGAATGCAGGGTCCGGGGAGACCAGATATAGTGAATGCAGGGTCCGGGGAGACCAGATATAGTGAGTGCAAGGTCCGGGGAGACCAGATATAGTGAATGCAGGGTCCGGGGAGACCAGATATAGTGAATGCAGGGTCCGGGGAGACCAGATATAGTGAGTGCAAGGTCCGGGGAGACCAGATATAGTGAATGCAGGGTCCGGGAGACCAGATATAGTGAATGCAGAGTCCGGGGAGACCAGATATAGTGAATGCAGGGTCCTGGGTTTACTAACACTTTAATATGGCCTAATGACGAAGACGAAGACTAAAAAACTACAGTGGAGTAATCCAAGTTACACTGAGTGGTTGTAAACCCTTCCATATACCCAGTGAAATGACTGGCCTCATGTCATACACAGAGATGAAACAAATCACCCTACATAAGTTGTACCTGTTTATCTACATCCCTCTCTTCTCTACATCCATTCAAAGTCCAGAATGTACACAGTATTTCAGAACTTCAGAAGACAGGAAGCAGGGATCTGATGTCACAAACAGCCCAGCATAATGGAAACAGCTGAGTGTAGTCCGAGACCTGAGTGAATTGAATGGACACACCCCTCTCTACACAATCTCATAAATAAACATGAATAGTTGTGTGTTTGAGGGGGTGGGGCAATCTCCCTGTACTGTCTGATGTTCACCTAGTCAGAAATGACCCCTACAAATAGCAGAGACAGCAGACAGAAATCACACTTGGTGCTTTGGATAGAGACAAGTGCACACTATAGAAGGGTATGCTTTGCTCATTTTTTCATTACAGAGGTTTACAAGCACATTAATGCAAGCAACTCTCCGTTTTATGTTCCAGATACACATTACTGTAAAGCAGTGCACCACTTCACAAGCCATGGCAAAAGTAAATCCGTCATTAAAAAATGTGCCACTCGGGAAGAGTGTCACCATGTGGGATGTCACCATCACCGGGACTCGGGACACACGGTGAGGATGTCATGAAATAAAGCATTTATTAATTTTCAATCTTTTGATGAAAAGGAAAACACATTCTGTGTCTTTGATTTTTCTACATACACTATATGATCAATTGTATAGAGACACCCCTCTAAATGACTGAGTTCAGGTGTTTCCAGTGAAGGGTGCTGATGCCACACATAACACAGATAACTGTGTGCTTCCAACCTTGTGCCAACACTTTAGGGCAAGGCCCTTTCTGTTCTATTAAGACTGTGCCCTTGTGTATAAAGGCGGCTGTATAAAGACTCAATGGCCTTCACAGATCACTGACCTCAACTCTATTGAACATCTTTGCGATGAATCTGAATACAGTGTGGGAACCAGGTCTTCCTGTCCAAAATCAGTACCTAACCTCACAAATGTTTATTTAGGTAAAAGGGCCAGAACAGTGGATCATTTTAGGATTTGTGTACACTTGTGGTTGGGGGATGGTAAACATGCATAGTTATGCTGCATTTTTACCACCCAACAACTGCTTCCCTGCAAAAGCAGGGGTGTATACATATGCTGCAAGGGCAAACCAAGATGGTGTGGGGTTTTAGGGGTTAAAACAGGTGGTGAGGAGGTGATATAACACCACCTCACCACCTATCAAATGCCTCTGAAGAGTGATCCAACACAGATCGCTCTTCAGTAGGTAATGTATGTGTAAATAAAGCCTTATAGTCACAAAGGAAGGGCAGCTGTAAAATTTTAAAATAGAAATGCTAAAAAAATATATAGGTATGATAGCCAGCTGTCCTTGCACCTCTGCCATATAGGGTAAATCTGTAGAAGAGAATTTCTTGATGTGAATAAACTTGTCAATAATGTTTCTCTGTTTTATGTTTTAACTATATGAGTACATCATACAAACAAACATCCGATGACCGCACATCCAGTAAAATCACCTTTATTTCTACTTATAGCATATTCCAGAAACATGACAGGGACTCCATCTAACGCGTTTCACACTCCACTAGCGCTTAGTCAAAGCTCAAAAGTACCCTGTCACATATAGATATATATATATACATACAAAGTAACCAAATAATTACTAATTGAAAACATTCATGAAAACAAGTGAATTGAGCTACCAATTACTTAGCTGAGGCTGCTGACATTTTTTTTTAATCAAAAACACAGTAGTACCAAATATTCTGGAAAAAAGAAGAAAAAAACTATATATGGGACACAGAATTTTATAATATATATACAAACATTTATAATTCATCAAAAAATCATTCATAATAGTATGACACATCCCACTCATAATTTAACCCCAAAAGTTTCCTAGTCCCCAGACTGAAAATCCAAAAGACTTCTTTACACAGTATTCAGAAACCAGTCTTCCCCTTTCACAGGGACTACAGTCCTTTCCATGCCTTGAATCTGTAATGCAGAAACATCACCATCATGACATTCATTAACCGCTTGCCCTCCAGAGGATTTACCCCCCCCTTCCTGACCAGGCCATGTTTTGCGATACGGCGCTGTGTTACTTTAACTGACAATTGCACGGTCATGCATCGCTGCACCCAAATGAATTTTTTTTTCTCACAAAAAAAAAAGACCGACAATTTTGAAAAAAAAACCCCAATATTTTTTGATTTTTTGCTATTAAACATGCCCAGTAAAAAAATTTTAAATATCAAATTGTCATAAATTTAGGCCAAAATGTATCCTGCTCCATGTCTTTGCTAAAAAAGAATCCCAATACGTGTAAATTATTTGGTTTACGTGAAAGTTATAGCGTCTACAAATGGCGGTATATGTACTGGGATTTTTTTTTTCTTTTTTTTTTTTTATACTAGTAATGGTGGCAATCAGCGACTTATATAGCAGGACGGCGGCGGACATTCTGACACTGGGGGGGAACTGACTTGGTGTCACAGACATCCCCAGTGACACAAATACAATGATCAGTGCTAATAAAGAGCACTGACACTGTACTAATGGCACTGGGCAGGAAGGGGTTTAACATGTGGGGTGATCAAAGGGTTACCTGTGTGCTGTTTTTACTATGTGGACTGTGTGTGCTTTACACTGTAAGCCATGCAGAGCCATACAGAGTGCAGGAGATGATGACAGGGGAGAGATTTGTATTGCTTACATACAGGTCTCTCCCCTGTCGGAAATCCTCTGAGAACACCGGGTGCCGGCGGGGAATCACCGGCTGCCGGCGAGGAATCACTGGCTGGGACTTGGTGATTGACATTGCAAATGGCGGCGCAGGTAGGGCACGCGCACGCCCCCTACCCAGAACTGCAAAATCACACAAATACACATAATTTTGCGCACCCGTGCCACCCTGTAGCAGTATTTCTCCTATAGGGCAGCACTGAAGTGGATAAAATGATTTGTTACATTTGTAGAATGCTCCTTACAAATATCATAAAGGTGATCATGTAGCCGATCCCTCCATCTATGAGTTGTGCGACCCACATACTGAACTGAACAAAGTGTGCATGTGATGACATAAACCAAGTGCTATGTTATAACTATATGTGTACATTAGTGTTCCCATAGTTCCTAAGAACGTTGCCTATGTCTTCTACTTTGGTACACAATGGTTTCACATTACTGCTTCTTCCCACAATGCAAATCTATGAGTCGCCTAACTCAGTGAGCACCATGAACTCCTTGGGTAGATTTATTGAAGGCAAATAGACTGTGCACTTTGCAAGTGCAGTTGCTCCAGAGCTTAGTAAATAAGAGGACGTTATGCTGATTTCCATCATCCAATCATGTGCAAGCAAAAATGCTGTTTTTTTTTCCATTTTCCTTGCATGTGATTGGGTATTTTTTGCAAAGTGAATGTTCACCTCATTTACTAAGCTCTGGAACAAATTGCACAGTCTATTTGTCTTTAGTAAATCACTCCCTTGTGTTTCTGATACTTTAACTGTTGTTAGAAAGAGAATTGCACTGACCTACCAAGAGCTCCCTCTAGTGTCTAATCTGTAAAGACATCGTACATTTATTTATTTATTTAGTACAGATCCTTATATAGCGCCATCAATTTACGCAGCACTTTACATATATATATATTGTACATTCCCATCAGTCCCTGACCTTCAAGGGATGTACAATCTAAGGTCCCTAATGCAGGCCATAGATGGGTCAAAAATCGGCCGATTTTTCGGCCGATTTTCGGATCGTTAGTGGGCTATTTGGCCGTTTTTTTCTGTATTTTGGCAGATTTTTTTATCGGTAAAGTTGGAAAAAAATCGGCCGATTTTGCCGATCGGCCTATTTTCGCGGCAATGATGGGCAAATCGGCCGATTTTTTACCGATTAAAAAATCTGCGCATGAGCAGTGACCTGCAAGAGGAAGACAAAAAGAAGAAAAAGAAGAAGAGGAAGAAGAAGAAGAGGAAGAAGAAGAGGATGAAGAAGAAGAGGATGAAGAAGAAGAGGATGAAGAAGAAGAGGATGAAGAAGAAGAGGATGATGATGAAGAAGAGGATGATGATGAAGAAGAGGATGATGATGAAGAAGAAGAAGAGGATGATGATGAAGAAGAAGAGGATGATTATGATGAAGAAGAAGAGGATGATTATGATGAAGAAGAAGAGGATGATGATGATGAAGAAGAAGAGGATGATGATGATGAAGAAGAAGAAGAAGAGGATGATGATGATGAAGAAGAAGAAGAGGATGATGATGATGAAGAAGAAGAAGAGGATGATGATGAAGAAGAAGAAGAGGATGATGATGAAGAAGAAGAAGATGATGATGATGATGATGAAGATGAGGAGGATGATGATGATGAAGAAGAGGATGATGAAGAAGATGAGGAGGATGATGATGATGAAGAAGAGGATGATGATGAAGAAGAAGAGGATGATGAAGAAGAAGAGGATGATGATGGTGAAGAAGAGGATGATGATGGTGAAGAAGAAGAGGATGATGATGAAGAAGAAGATGAGGATGATGATGAAGAAGACGATGAGGAGGATGATGATGATGAAGAAGAGGATGATGAAGAAGAAGAAGAAGAAGAGAGGATGATGAAGAAGAAGATGATGATGATGGTGAAGAAGAAGAGGATGATGATGAAGAAGAAGATGAGGATGATGATGAAGAAGACGATGAGGAGGATGATGATGATGAAGAAGAGGATGATGAAGAAGAAGAAGAAGAAGAGGAGGATGATGAAGAAGAAGATGATGATGATGGTGAAGAAGAAGAGGATGATGGTGAAGAAGAAGAGGATGATGAAGAAGATGGGGATGATGATGATGAAGAAGAAGAAGATGAGGATTATGATGGAGAAGAAGAATAGAAGGATGATGAAGAAGAAGAAGAGGATGATGATGATGAAGAAGAAGATGAGGATGATGATGAAGAAGAAGATGAGGATGAAGAAGAAGATGATGAAGAAGAAGAAGAAGGATGAAAAATAAGAGGAATTCCAGTACGGCAAAAAGTGTCCCTGCAGAGAGCTCCGCTATTTCTTCTGACAGTTCCTTGACATTTACAGCGGTTGCAACATTGTATCTATTTGTTTCCGAATAAAAACATCTGTATCCTAAATGGATACAAATAGATACATTGTTGCAACCGCTGTAAATGTCAAGGAACTGTCAAAGAAATAGCAGAGCTCTCTGCAGGGAGACTTTTTGCCGGCTGTAGACGGGATGAAAATCGGCCGATTTTTTTTTTTTACCATTGCTGGTAACGTCGGCCGCTTGAACGACCGATTTTTCATTTTTTAAAAGAAAAATCGGCCGTTTTTCTCCCCGTCTATGGCCTGCATAACTCACAGTCATACATACACATACTAGGGCCAAATTAGACAGGATCCAATTAACCTACCAGCATGTCTTTAGAGTGAGGGAGGAATCCGGAGTACCCGGAGGAAACCCACGCAGACACAGGGAGAACATGCAAACTCCAGGCAGGTGGTGCCGTGGTTGGGATTTGAACCAACCAGGTGGAAGTGCTAACCACTTAGCAACAGAACGGACACTGCTGCTGCTCCC